GACTCCAAAAACACATGAATCTGCTAAATTGTCTCCACTTTTTCATTACCCCAGAAACAAATCTGTAAACTGAAAACATTAAATATTGATAAGTATCAAAGTTCAGTATCTGATCAAATGTGAAAAAATTACTAAAATCATCCCTGCTTTCAATAACTTATATCATTGATCATAAACTCTTCCTGCATTGACCAGAATACAACACTGGTGTTAAAGTAAATCCCTGAATTATATGCATCTTATGAATTCCAATTTGGCCATGTAGGTCAGGAGTGTTTGTTGTGTACAAGTTTAGCCATGGAGACGTGCTGGGGCCGATATTTTTGTAGTTTTATTTCTATGCACACAAAGACTTCTGTGTAATCACTGCTTTCACTTCCACTAATATGCAGTTAATTCCCTGTCATAATGTTGAATCCATCCATGGACTGTTTAAGGATTGGTTAAATTTTTTTTTGAGCTTTTGTTGTGAAGAAGAAACTTTTTTTCTCGAATAAACAAAATGGAGTGAAACATTTTGGAAATGGGAAGTAAGTCACACCTGCTGTTTTTGTTTTCCCACATTTGTTTAACCTCCTAGGACCTGGCGTCCACATATGTGGACATCACATTTTGGGTTGTCTAGAGCACAATACTAAATTTTGCTCTACAAGAGCCTTATATCCACTTAGGAGGACATTATTCTGCCACTGTTCTATCAGAATCTAAAATGAATGTCCTCAGATGTGGATATCAGGCCATTGTGGAGCAAAATCAGGTAAGAAGATAATTCTTTGTTTTTACATTCATCAGGTCCCAATGAGACCAAATAGCAAGGACAAATTAAAACTGCATGCCATGAAATGAGTGAATGAGTTGGGGTCTCAGGAGGTTAACCTCACTAGAGGACTAAAATGTAGAAAGTGGCAAACTCTTGGTGTCTATTATTATGGGTGGTTTTTAATCAATTTATAAATGTATAAATAGCATAAACTGAGACTGGTAACTTATGACATGAACCTCCAGGGTCTAGACACTGGTGGTGCTGATGATGGAGGTCTGAGTAACTCAGTTGAGGTAGAGATGGGGAGAAGGTGGGTTGCACAAATGACATCAGGGCAGCGCAGAGATGTTTGAAGGGACGGGTGCTCAAAGTTAAAAGGGGCACATTGAACCAGACTGAATAACAACAACCTACATTCAGATTCTTCATGAATGGGGGTTGCTGTTCTATGTGCCCCTTTTTAACTTTTAGTACCCGCCCCTTTAAGCATCTCTGCAGTTCTTTATATAAGCAAACTTGACCATCAGTACTATATTTTAGTTTCAGTTGCAAAACTGTGCCAATTTAATGTTTATGATGTGTTGGGATTCAGAGATTCTTTTATTGCTACCATATAATCTGCCTTATGAAGAATGTATTAATAACATGTTTTACAGTATCATTTATCAGTAATATTTCCTGCAGGGTTTATAAAATTGCATTGAA